TTCTCCTTTTTGTTTTTCTCCATTTCATAGTCTCTCATCTCTCCACTCCAATGGCAAGCTCCCCAGCACTCTTTTTTGTTTGTATGTTTTTGGCTCCTGTTCCTCTCTCCTCTTTCCTATACCCATTTTAGCTCCACACATCACAATCTCCCCCCTCCATCCTGCCTACCTGTACCGTGCGCTGAACATCACACCACCAAGCAGCCCAGGCATGGCCTACTGGAACCTGCCCTGCACTGATTACCAGCCTGCCCTGGTGGCCGCAGTAAGTGCCACAAACAACCCATCCCAGCAACTCCTCTTCAGCTAGACCTGCCCTTCTGTACCATATCTGAGTGACTGACCCTGCCAATTGGAGAAGGAGGCGAAAAGTATCGTGCCCACAGACGAGCAGACAACAAAGAATACACAGCCAGCCTGCTCAGACATAACCAAATAAAAAAACAGGATGAAACAAACAAATCTATAATCAATAAACAAGAAAAATAACTACGAAATGCCCTGAAGACAGCAGACAATATCAAAAGATTTACAAAAACAAGACAGGATGGTTCCAGTAGGCGTCCAAAATAAAACACCAGATGACCTTCCAGTAGAAGAAAAGGCACTAGAACTACCGGATAGGGAAATTAGATCTCCAATATTCAGAATCATCCAGGAGTTGAAGTAAAAAGCAAACAAAAATGAGGCAAAAATAGACAAATTCATGGAAAAGGCAGACAAATTCATGGAAAATACAGACCAAAAATATGGAAGAATTCAGGAAAATAATGCAGGAACAAAATGCCAAAATAAACTCACAACTAGAAATCATACAAAAACAACAATTAGAAATCCAAAACATAAACAACAAGATTTCAGAAATGGACAGTGTCACAGAAGGGCTGAGGAGCAGGTCTGAGACGGTGGAAGACAGGATCAGCGAAATTGAAGACAAACACTTGGATACAACTCTGAGGAAAAATCAGAAAAAAGAACAAAGAAAAATGAAGAGACCCTGAGAATTACATGGGATACAATCAAAAGCAAAAATCTGCAAGTGATTGGAGTTCCAGAACAGGGGGAGAAAACAGAAAACACAGAGAGGATCATTGAAGAAATGCTGACAGAAAACTTCCCCAACATCATGAAAGATGAAAAGCTGGCCATCCAAGAAGCTCAATGAAACCCATATAGGATAGACGCCAAAAGAAAATCACCAAGGTATATCATAATCACATTCGAAAAAACCAAAGACAAACAAAGAATTCTGAGAGCAGCTCGAGAAAAACAAAAAGTCACATATAGAGGAGAAACAGTAAGACTAAGCTCAGATTATCTGGCAGAAACCATGCAGGCAAGAAGGCAATGGGATGACATACATAAAACCTTGAAAGAAAAAAACTGCCAACCAAGAATAATATATTCTGCAAAACTCTCGTTCAAATATGATGGTGAAATTAGGTCATTTCCAGATAGAAAGAAATTAAGGGAATATGTAAAAACAGAACCAAACTTACTAAGAATTATTAAAGGGAGTCCTTTGATCTGAGAACAAACAACTTCAGCTCACAGGCTAAATCTAGGACGCAGGATAGTACCAGCCAAATACCAGTCTAGGAGATGAACTCTCAAGGACTATCCAGAACCAAAAGAAATACAACAGGGAATCAGAGCAGTTAATCTGTAAATGACAACATCAGAACAATAAAAGAGAGAATAAATGGTGTAGGTATAAAACCTTCTAATGGAGAGGAAGGCAAGGCGATACCAAGTAATAACAGACTGCTTCAAACTTAGATAAGGGTAAATTTCACGGTACACAAAAAGAAAGTTAACAAACCTACTCATAAAAGTAAAGACGAAAAACAAAGTCTCAGTAAAAACAAAACCTACAAAAACAAAAGAAACTGAAAAAAAAATTCACAAACAAAAGGAATTCAGCATATGAGAGGAAGAGGAACAAAGAAAATGTCAGCACCACAAAAAAAAGAAGCATCTCATAACATGGATGAAACTAGAGGACATTATGCTGAGTGAAATAAGTCAATCACAAAAGGACAAATATTGTATGAGACGTGTATTGTAAAAACTCATAAAACAGTTTACAAACAAAAAGTAACAATCTTTGTTGGTTACAAGGGATGGGAGGGGTGGGGGGAAATACTAAATAGACAACAGATAAGTGGTAACTTTGGTGAAGGGTAAGACAGTACACAATACTGGGGAAGCCAGCACAACCTGTACAAGCAAAGGTCATGGAAGCTCCATAGACACATCCATACTCCCTGAGGGACTGAATTGTTGGGAGAAGGGCTATGGGGACCATGGTCTCAGGGAACATCTAGCTCAACTGGCATAACACAGTTTATAAAGACAATGTTCTACATTCTACCTTGGTGAGTAGCTTCTGGGATCTTAAAAGCCTGTGAGCAGCCATCTAAGATACTCCTCTGGTCTCATCCCTTCGGGAGCAAGCGAGAATGAAGAGAACAGGATACAAGGAAAAGATTAGTCCGAAGGACTCATGAACAACAGCTACCAAGGCCTCCACCAGACTGAGTCCAGTACAGCTAGATGGTGCCCGGCTACCACCACTGACAGCTCTGACTGGGATCACAACAGAGGGATCTGGACAGAGCTGGAGAAGGATGTGGAACAAAATTCTAACACATACACAGAAAAAGACCAGATTTACTGGCCTGACAGAGACTGGAGAAACTCCGAGAGTTGGGCCCCTAGACACCCTTTTAGCTCAGTGGTTAAGTCACTCCTAAGGTTCACCGTTGAGCCGGGGATTGGACAGCCCCATAAAAACAAAATGGGACTAATGAGGCACAGCAATCCAGGGACAAGGACTAGAAAGCAGAAGGGGATAGGAAAGCTCGTGATAGGGAACCCAAGGTTGAGTAAGGACAGTGTTGACATGCAGTGGGGTTCTTAACCATTGTCATAGGGCAATATGTGTACTGTTTAGTGAGAAACTATTTTGTTCCGTAAACCTTCATCTAAACTGAGAAAAGCAGCATAAGTGGAAGAACATAATCGATGTCACTGAATTGTACATGTAGAAATTTTTGAAATGGTGTATCTTTGGCTATGTATATTTTCACCAAAAAAAAAAA